GACCAAAAACTAACTGGGAGGAAAGGGTTTATTTGACTTACATGTCCCAGCAATAGTTCATCATGGGAGGACCTTCAGGTAGGAACTGAAGTGGAGGTCGTAGAAATACTGCTTACTTTCCATGGCTCTCTTAGTTTTCTTTCTTATACGACCCAGGGCAATCTGATCAAGGGGGTGGCACTGCAGTTGTCTGGACCCTCCTATATCAACCATCAATCGAGACTGCCCCATAGAAACACCCACAGGTCAATCCAATGGAGTTGATGGATAAAGTGACATTCCTTCTTCTCAGGTAACTCAATTTTGTGTCAAGTTGATAAAATAAAACAAGCCTTCCCATTATATCATCTATCGGAGACCCTGAGGATAAATGATAGCAAAGAATAGAGAGAAACAGAAGTCTTTTAAAGCATATGGAGAAAAGCATGCTGCTGCAACAAGTGGTTAGAGCCCTCAAGTGCCCTCAAGCAAAGCAGACATCAAACAGATGGCTCTACATTAGAACTCTATGCTGACACTTTGCGGCAGATAGGCAATGGAAAATTCCTATCTATCTATATAAATTCCTATCTATATAAAGAATTACCTGATCCCCAAAGCAAATGCTTTAAAAAAGAAAATCAGGGCTTATACCAAGAAGCATGTTCACATGGTAAAAATTAAATGATTAAACAACAGCCATGTTTCTAAATTAAAGAGCCATTGGGGGTATCTCAAAGCATCTGCTCTGAGTGCAAATGAGATACCTTAGTGAATAAAGCATTTACTGAGCAAAATTTATAGCCTAGATTTGGTCCCAGGACCCCACAGTGAAGGAGAGAACTGATTTCTGAAAATTGTCGTCCTCGGACCTCCACACTCACTCATAGACATACACAAACAGCCCCACAAATAATAAATGGAATTTAAAATTTAAATCTACCATGTTGTGTACAATATTGTGTCAACCAAAAAACATATAACAACAAATTTTTTAAAATATGAGAAAAAAAAGTCCTACTTTCTTGATGTAGCTTGTATGTGAAGTGTCCAATAGTCCGTGTGCACTTGGTGTCCTGCTGGTGAGGGTTTAAGGAGGACACAGAGCCTTTGGGAATATGGCCTAGCTAGCAGAAGTGAGTCTCTGAGTATGGAGATAGGTTGGTGCTATCTGCTCTAGTTCTGGCTGGAACCACCTGTTTCCTAATCTGCCAAGGTGTGAATGTCCTTGTCACAAGCTGCCACCACTGCAGACTGCGTTGCTCCAGTTACTATGTTGCTCTGTCATAATGGGTCATGCTCCCCTGGAACTCTGGGTCAAAATAAGCCTTGTCCCACTTGTTGCTTCTGTCAGATATTGTTGATGAGAAAATATAGCTAATGTATTTGCATAATATATAAAATATCTTCAATTTCATAGCAGGTTTTGTGTCCAAATGTTGCCACAGTGCTCAGACTTTGTACTCTGATATTGATGGGGTTATGATATCACCATACTTACTGAGGAGCTATTGGTAGTGGATAGTTGCAGGATGGGGTCAGGGGTCATTGTTTTTAGAAGATGTGATGTCTGGTAGATTCCCCACACTTCAGTGGATGCTCCCCACACATACACATGAGAACAGCTCTAACTGGATTTCATGGGTTATGAAAAAAAAAACCAACCTATGAGGTTGGGATGGGAAGGAAAAAAATGGGGGATGGAATTTTATTTTATACATTTTAAATTATAAAAAACAACAAAACAAAAACCGCATCCTCACGAATGGCAATCCACAGGCTGATGCTGATCCCCTTTTCCATACATTTCAAGATTTTTCATGAAACTCTACAGTCTTGCAGAAAGTATACATCAATGCAGATTGTGTGTGTGTGTGTGTGTGTGTGTGTGTGTGTGTGTGTGGTGTCTACTGTTTCAGGAGGTTAGTAATGCAACCCCTCACTTAATCCTGTTTCTTCACCAACCAAAGAATATACACAGGCTGGACCTAGGCTTCCCCACACATATGTAGTAGAGATGTTGCTTGGTCTTCATGTGGGTCTGGAACAACTGGAATGAGGTGGGGGTTATCCCAAAAGCTGTTGCCTGCATGTGAGATTGTGTTCTTCTAGCTGGACTCCCTTGTCTGGCCTCAGTGGGAGAGGAAGAGCCTAGCTTCACAGATACTTGATGTCCCAGGGTGGAGAGATACCCAATCTCCCCACTCAGAGGAGAAGGGAAGGGAGAATTGAGGAAGGACTGTGGGAGGGGGTGACTGGGAGATGGGTAGTGATCTGAATGGTAAGTGAATAAAAAAAGAAAGAAAGAAAGAAAGAAAGAAAGGGAGGGAGAGGGAGGGAGGGAGAGAGAGAGAGAGAGAGAGAGAGAGAGAGAGAGAGAGATTTAAAAAAGAATCCTAGTTCTTGAGAAATAAACTGAGACTGAGTTTCTAATTTACTCTTTCAAGTTACTAATATAAAAAGAAGCACCCCTCCCCCTATAGGGCTTCAAACAGTACACAGATAAACTGGAGAGATCCACAGTGCAAGTCATGGCAGCCTTTGTGGTTTCCGGTCACATTCGTATTAGCACCTATAAATAAACTACCATTATTTTAATAAATTCTCATTTAAAACAGAAGAGAGAAATAGGAAAGGGGCAAAAACAAGGCAAGAAAATGTACCACTGACAAGTTCAAATTCTTCTGTGATTAGGACAGCCTGAGTATGGGCTCTTAAGTATCTTGGAATGGAAGGCATGGGGAGGGGCAGACTGGAAGGCTTAAGGGAACAGGATAAAGGGCATGGGGTGAGAGACAGGATGGAAGGTGTGGGAGGATCAGTATGAAAGGCATGGTGTGTGGTGGAGGGAAACAGTTGCATTTCCAGGTCACCAGAGGAGCCTACAGGGGAAGAGAGGCTCTCTCTTGTTGCATGTGGCTGGCTTTTTTCCAAACCTAGCCTCTGAAGTTCACAAATTTGACAGTTTGTCTCTATTGTTTGCAGTTAAACCTGGCTATTTTTTCTCTACTGCTTCCTGTTCCATACACGAAGGTCCTGTTTCTCTAATAACATTAGCAACGTCTTTTACTGTCTTCTTCACTGGTATTATCTATGCAAAACGAAAAAACAAAAAAAAAAACAAAAAATCAAAAAAAAACCCCACATGACTCAAAAAAGATCTACAGATGGCTAGAGAGATAGCTACGTGACTAAAAGCACTCACTGCTCTTGAAGATGACCTGGGCTCAGACTCAGCATTATTGTGGCACCCACAACTGCCTATAACTCCAGTTCCTGGAGACCTGATGCCCTCATCTGATCTCCTCGGACTACTGAACAGATGTGGTGCATATACATACACTCAAGCATCGATAAATAAATAAAATTCAACAAATAAAAAATTTAAAGATTAAAAATATATAGAAAAAATTCAATTGCAAACTGAAAGGAATTGGACACATGGCTAGAAATTTTGTTAAAAACAGGACAAGTGTTTTATCTGTAGCTGAATGACTTCTGAAACCAAACAGGGCTTTGTCCTAAACCCTTCAATTATTTCACAGATACTTGTTGCAGTCTTATGATGAACTGGGCATTATTCCTGTCATTAGGATCTGTGGTGACCACGAAACTTGTCATCTAGAACCAAGCAATGTGTATAAAATTGTTTTCTCAAACATCTTGGTATGTTCTAAGTTACCCATAACATATTGTATCTGAAATTCAAACCTTGGAAATCTTCTCTATGACCCAGTGGTCAAAATCAAAACTATGGTACAAACATGTTAGTGTTTCCCTAAAGAGAAGGGAACAAAACCAAACCCGTCTCCAGGCGCGAGCATTCTTCCAGCCCCATCCAAGGACAATTTCAAGGGAGAAAGGTTTACTTTGACTCATGATTTTGTTCCTTCATGAAACGGAAGGCATGGTGGACTTCCAGGAGAGAGAGCATGGCAGGAAAGTCCACATTATGGTAGACTGGGAAGCAGAGAATAAAGCTTGGGCCAACCTGACTGGGCTATAACCTCTAATTGATTTCCTCTGGCAATCTCCTTATGCCAGCGACCCCCACCTCCTAAAGGTTATACAGCTTCCCTGGACAATATCACTAACTGTGAAACAAATGAGCCTATGGAGGACATTGCAGATTCAGAGTGTAACATTGTGCCTATATAGCACTGCAGAGAAAGAGGGTAGGGATAGGCTCCTCCCACTCTCCCTGGAAGTGATGGGAGGGCACAGTCAACCCCAGCTCAATCTGGTCCAATCTTCCTCACAAATGCTTCATCTTCCTCACAAATGAGCACAGTCACTTCTACTCCCAACTAACACATGGTCTTAATGAGGTAAGACCCAAGAGGCAGACAAGAAAACAGCAGAGTTGCAAAAATAATTTATTGTAAATGTTTTTAGATCATTATATATTAAAATTCCTTGTTACTTTAGAAAGATAAGGGCACATGAAAGTTCACAGTTAACATGTAAAAAATAAAATAAAATAAAATAAAATAAAATAAAATAAAATAAAATAA